GAACCCACCGGGAACTCGATCACATCGACTAACGGGATAACATAGGGATCCTATCGGCAAAACGGGGTCCCATCGGAAAAGAGGATCACACCAGGAAACGGAATCGCGCAGAGAACGGGATTCCACCGGTAACAGGATTCCAACGGGAAATGGAATCCACCGTGATCGGAAACCAAACAGGAAAGGGATCCCACCGAGGAAAAAGGAACCCAGAGGGATCGTGAACCCATAGGGATCGGGAAAGCAACTGGGATCGGAATACCGACGGGATCGGAAACCAACCAGTATCTTGATCCACCGGTATCGGAGTCTCACCTGGATCGTGATCCATCACGCCAATCCTTTCAGCATCAGTTGTTTTGTGTAGCCTAAGTCCTGCTGCCAATGTTTTCCAATTTTTTAAAGGCAACAAAGGTGCTCTTCCGATGCCTCATCATGTTGTAATTTTTGGGCCCAGTTTCCACCACTCATTAAACTCAGTAACGAATTGGGATGTTGTTTCTGTAATATTACAACAAAAAATCTGCAGCAAAGCAGTAAAATGTCTGACTGACGAGTGCACAAACCACCCACGACCGCAGTATTTTCTCGCCATTAGGGATTATCCTGTAGAAACATTGTTTTGTAGCTGGCGCACACCTCCTGGTGCCTGTCACTGCGCTAAATGGTCCGTCCTTGTCACTGCGCTAAATGGTCCGTCCTTGTCACTACGCTAAATGGTCCGTCCTTGTCACTACGCTAAATGGTCCGTCCTTGTCACTGCGCTAAATGGTCCGTCCTTGTCACTACGCTAAATGGTCCGTCCTTGTCACTGCGCTAAATGGTCCGTCCTTGTCACTACGCTAAATGGTCCGTCCTTGTCACTACGCTAAATGGTCCGTCCTTGTCACTACGCTAAATGGTCCGTCCTTGTCACTACGCTAAATGGTCCGTCCTTGTCACTACGCTAAATGGTCCATCCTTGTTCTGAAACGAGGTACACCGTATTTTAATAATTTCAGACCGAAAATGTTCTGGAAATGGTACATTCCAGAGAGGAGCATCTGATAAAATGTGCGAGTTTTTGTCATTACCTTTCAAATGTACAGTATAATGGTTTGAATCAACAATATCAACACCCATGTCCGTTTCCAAACCATCCACGTCTTTTCGACGTCAATCTCTTCCATTTTCTACAGTATTTGCTGTATCGAAGCAATCAGTATCAATGGGTAGCTGAGGAACGTCTTTTGGCAAATCTTGGTCATCATTTGTTTTCCGGACATATCGAAGAATGGATCCTGGTAATGATTTTAGTCAGTCACATCTTTTCTTTTTTCGCTGTTCGCTGCTGGCCACCACTAGGCCGTTCAGATGTGTACACACCGTGTGGCAAGATAGAATAATCTTGAATCAGAAGTCGAAACATGACAATCGTTCTCAAATGTCTATAGGGCGGTGCTAGTGACTAATTTTGGAAAATATTAATTTTTGAGTATTTGTGGGCTTCGATATATTTATTATTTAAAAAAAAAAATAATTTATTTTAATTAAATTTAAATTAATTATTAAAAGTTATGCGAAAATTTTGTAAAATACTGTTATGTGAACACTATGAATGAGTGAAAAGTAATTAAAAATTGTTTTAACATTTTATCAATTCGATTCTTGTACTTAGAATCGCCCGACCACATCGTATTTGGTACCAATGGAAAGTTTTTTTCCCTCAGAATTTAGATAAACATAGCTTCTTGTCATTTACGGAATTTACGGAAAACTCCAATCTGAAGCATCATCTTTTAACTTTTAATAAAGTGCGCATTTTGATTGGTTACATGTTTGGAAAATTGGCGTGTGATCGGTTGTAATTTTATGAAATTCAGTTCGACCGAGCAGTGTGTGCTCTTTAAATATATCATTTTTAAAATTGGTGTCACCCCCCACTCCTGTGTGGTGTCACCCTGTGTGGTGTCACCCAGTGCGGTCCGCTTGCCCGCATCACTCTAGCTACGACAGTGGCGCTACTACCCATTCAGGGGCCTTGCCGGCTTCACCACACCCTTCCATTCGAAACAATCCATGGCTTTCCGCCTCTATGCGCAAAATCACATCTGGTGTAGGTTCTTCTCTACATCATCGTTCCATCTTAGTCTTGGTCGGCGGGGGAGCCGTCTGCTCCTTGGTTTCTGTCAGTAGATCAATTTAGCTGCTCTACAATCCGGCATCTTCTCAATCAGTCTGCCTCTGTTCGTTGTTGCAACCATGGGTGAATCTTTGTACGGTGGATAAATCTCTTGGTTTGTACTGATGTTCCAACCATCATTGTCTATCAACGGAACATATATTTTTCTCTGAGTATTTTCTCCTCGCGCATGCATTGAGGAGGCTCTCTGCTTTTCTGGTAAGGGACCAAGCCCCACGTGCGAAAGTTAAAACTCGTCTTATCATAGTGTTGTATAATGCTTCTTTGTAAGAGGTTTTTGCTGCTTCCCAGTAGCTTTTGTAGGCTGAAATAGGAGCGTTTGCCTGTTGTTATCATTTTTTTCACCTCCGACATCATTTCATTGTTCTCAGTTTACAGTCCCCCATAGATATTTGAAAGTAGTCACTCTCTCAAATGTATGATTGTTTATCTTGATGTTGTTGTCAGTTCGCGTCTTTCGTGACATTTCTGTAATTTATGTCTTTGCTTCATTTCATACCTCAAGACCAGCTTTGACTGGCGCATCTTCAAGTTCCCTAAATGAATTAACCACAGCATAGCTGTTTCTGCCCAGTAGCGCTATATATCACCCACGCATGCCAGGTACCGTAATGGTTGAAGATATAAAGTTCCTGATGGGTGTGGCTCTTTAATATCTCTCTCTATGTAGTTTGTTATGGTTCCACTAGTGCTCACATGTATGCTTCTCATAAATTTTTTGTAACGACATGTTAAACAGGATACATGATAGTGAATCTACTTGTCTGAGCCCCTGATTATTTGTGAACTCACTCGAGTACTCTCCCTGTACTTTGATTCTACTTTTTGAGTTAGCCATCTTAGCCTATTATGTATGAGGCGAGTAAGTTTTTTTTAGGGACTCCAAGTTCATGTACAGTAGCATACAAGTATTTCCTGTATACGCATTTCTAAGCTGTTTAGTAGTCCACCTATAATTGGTATATGTTGATGTTGTATTCGTAGCATTTCTCCAAGTGACAGCTAATAGTAAAATATACTCTGTAGTTGATCAGTTCTGACGGAATCCACATTGACAGTCCCCTAGGATCTGTTCTAACGGAATCCACATTGAAAGTCCTCTAGGATCTGTTCTGACGGAATCCATTTTGATAGTCCACTAGGATCAGTTCTGACGGAATCCATATTGATAGTCCCCTAGGATCTGTTCTGACTGAATCCAAATTGATATCTCCTAGGATCTGTTCTGACGGAATCCACATCGATAGGCCCCTAGGATCTGTTCTGCCGGAATCCACATTGATAGTCCCCTAGGATCTATTCTGACGAATTCCACATTGATAGTCCCCTATGATCTATTCTGACGGAATCCACATTGAAAATCCCCAAGGATCTGTTCCTAAGTAATCTACAATGACAGTCCCCTAGGATCTGTTGGATAATGAGATGCTAATTTTTGAGTAGCAGTAAGTTATTTGTGCATTTTAGAAATTCTGTGGGAATAAGAAAACAATCCTACAAACATTATGCCTACAATGCCAACCTTCTGTTTTAGTGTGTATGTATTTTTCTTAACGGTTCAGCTACATTTCATACTTGTCAATAAATAAGCCTTACATTAACTCTGTTTCTATCAAATATCTACTTTCAGGTACATTTCTTAGCTACAATACTCTCTGTGAAAAGCCGTAATTGCACCCTAAAGGAGACTCTTCAAACTCTTCAATTTGATAGCACTGACGCGTTGAAATCCGGGTACTTGGACGTGCTGGGCAAGCGTCACAATGATCCGAAACCACCATTCGATGAAACATTGCAAGATCGCCTTTTTGTTAACCAGAGCTGTGGTCAGCCTGCTGTTGACGTTACCAGAGCAATCATCAAAGGACAGGACGCCCTTGGCAAACATTAATTGGTACTGTCATCCAATAATGACAGTGCTCCCGGGGTTATTAATTCCCTTGTCACCCAGAGTTATCGTACTTTATTGAGAACACCTTACGCAACTAAATTTTAAGACCAGTCATGCCATAATATTATTGTTAATTTTTGTTAAGTTTTTTTTTCAATGTATATTAAAGATATTTGTCATGTTGGAAATTCTATATTAACTACACTACAATAAAATAACCACAAAAAAAAAAAAATCTATTCTTATTTACATTTATCAATTGATCATTATTTAGCTGATATTTAATTTAAAGGACACTTTTTTAAGGCCTGTGTAGGGATATTCTAGGCTTAGCATGCTCATTTTAACGCGAATAACAAGCCTGACACGTTAACAGGGCTTAAGGCAGAACTCTTTGTCAAGAAAAATATTATTTCAAAAAACGAACGGCTCCAAACGACATGGCATGGCCGCCATTGCATGAAGGATAGGGATCAAGTCGATTTATGTATTTTGAGAAATTGGTGGTTTGGAATCAATAAAGTTTGAATAAAATCTAAGTTCACAAGACTGTATAGTTTCAAATTATTTCATTTATTAGTAAATTGAGTTCTAACAGGGACTGAACTCAAAGACAACAGTGTTACAAAGGTTCAATCCCACACACAACATATTATATGTGTTGCCAAAAAAGTGTACATGCATTTATTATTTTTAAAATCCAATTTGTTTTTTAATGTTGGTTGCTAATATGCACTATTTATTCAATAAAATAATATCATTTGATTCAGAATTGATATAGATCACATGGTACCTAATATTAAATCACAGTTAATTGATTTTGATGTAACTCCAAAAGAATTATTATTTTTCTAGAGTGTACAGTTTTAACAAAAATATAAACACATCTCAAACGAGTAGAAGAACAAACACAAATGTTGAGGTCTAAGTTAAAATTGTTTATTATTTCCATCAGTGGTATTCATTTGTACAAGACATAATAATATGAACAATTAAAGCAATCTGTTCAAGATTTTTCTTACATACCGGTATAGGAATTGTAAAGATGTATTGATAAAAAGAAAATTTTATAGTAGTGCAATTTTAGAATTTTTAACATTTATTTTTAAAATACTAAATAAAACAAGGCAAGTCTTTCATAAGAGAAATACTATAACTACCACCACATAATATAAATGGAGAATAAAATATCTATCACATTCTGAAACCAATTAAACCAATTTGGGTACAAATAAACAATGTGATGTAATGATTTCCTGAAAAGTGTCAAAGTACCGCTATATATTTAACATCAATTCCTAAATTTTTCTATTTTATAATAAATATAATATAAAGCAAATTAAAGAGGCTGCATGCAAAAGTTCTTTTAAGAAACCACTGAAGCTTAAACAGCATGCTGAGTTGGCGTCATTATTATTAACATTATTGATGTGACAAAAGTAGGAGCATAGTCATTAATGTTTGCCACTGCCTGATTAATTCTACTGTGTAGTCAAGATGACTTGCATCTTCTTAACTATGGTACTCAAGATCTGCATAGTATCATTACGATGACTTTGCATTAATTAAGTTAGATAACGAAATACCCTTTAATTAATACATAATCCCCATTGGTCTACTAAAATTGATTGAAAATCTTGTGAACCATATTTTATTTGTAACTGACAAAGACATTAAAGAAATAATGCTAGTGACACTTTAATAGTGATTGTCCTCCAACAACTCTGCATATAATACAAGTTATACCCCAAAGTCTGTGCCCAACACAAGGTAATGCACAACGTAGGCTGTTCTTGGACTTAAAGTGACAGCCATGGTGACTCAGGTGGCCCACTTGTTCTCAGTGACATTAGTTCTTCTACCGCCCATCATCGGTGTACTAAAGGAAAGTGCCAAGTGTTTCAACCATATTCTCTATGTTGTAGTTGTAAAGACTGTAGCAGCAAATGATTTTTAATTAACTTTAAAATAATTTTCATAATTAATTTGTATAATGATTGGGTTTTTTTTCTTGCTGGTATAGAATAGAGGGGCGGCAGTTGTTGTTGTTGTTTTTTTAACATATTTTTTTAAAGACAGCTTGCATCAACTTGTTGAAGGGATATAGATCTGAAATAAACTGACTCATTCCAAATAGTGGTGGTCTTGAGTTCAATCCCTGCCAAAGTCAAAATCCCAAGCACCCTTGGTGGATGAGACTCGTTAGCCTTGGAAGACAACTTATCTAAGAGAAGGCTAACTCTGAATTCAAAACCAGGGGTCAAAATAATCAATAAATTGATCGTGGGCCCTTAAATATGAAAAAAAAAAATATATATGCCTATTTCTAAAATTATTATTACCGCAGTTTGAATTTCATACACTTCCTAATCGGAATTACACATTTTATTGTTAAATCCTTTTTTTTTTGTTTGCCCTTGCTCTTTACTTCATTTACTGAAATCATATGTATGGGTTTATATTATACATGAATAAATTGTCTTATGTATGGTGTTCAATTATCTCTGCTGCTTCCTTGTTAAACATGAATTGTTTCTTCTAGATAAATTCAGCTGCTTTTCAAATGCATTTTTTCACGCACAGGTGCTGTCTATGCACAAGTTAGCAGCAATCAAGTATCAACACTTATGCCATGTCACTATTAAAAACATGATAAGACTATAGGAACAATTTTATGATGATAAATGGTCTCAACTTTTGAGGCAGCCAGTTTGAAACAAGGTTTTGCAGCAGACTTTTTTTTGGCCAAGCTCCTATCAAGACAATATTATTTTGTTCGCTAGGGGAAGGGGGTCAAGAAATTGTGATGAGGGTGTCTAAACTTTTGTGACAAGTTTGTGATTAACAGGAAAGGGGGTGGGGGGTGTTAAAAAATCTCCAAGAAAAGTGTAACTTCACTCATGAAGTGCACCTTATAAAATAAATGAGGCTAGCAAGTTTTAAAAACACATGATTCTCTTTCCCCAGTTGAAGTTTGAATTAATTTATATGAGTATCAAAAACAAGAATTGATCTTAAAAAAAATGAAATTAAAACTTAACTTTGAAAAGCTATTTAATCAGAACTCTGTCCATAAAAACAACACGTAAAGAAATAAAACATGAGAAATGTTCAAAGCAAGAAGTTAATTCTCTTATTGTTCTCATTTCCTGAGATTGAATGTACCATCAAGTGTCGACAAATCTGCTGTTTAAATAAATATGCAAATATATTAAAAGTGGCAAAGTAAACTACAGAATATGTTATTGATGGTTAATTGAAATTCATTGACCTCTCAATATCTAAAGATCATTTTTCATCTTGTCGGATGGAATCAGCTAACTCATGAAAGCTCTCACAGTTCCCTTGATCAGTCTTCTGCAGATTGGGCAGTCTTTCAATGGAAGGGAACATTCCACACAGGTAACAAGATGACCACAAGGAAGAAAGACAATCTGTACTTCTTTGTCTAAACAGATTTTACAGAGAGTCTGCTGGCGTAGCTCCTGGTTCTGTCCCTTTAGTTCATTGATAGTTACTGATGAATTAAAAGATATTTTTCTTTTAAATCAACCAGTAAAACTTATAATAAATAACTACAATAAATAATGTTCAACAACATTTTTTTTCAATTTAATATCAATTGAAAGAAGTCTAAACCAATTTTAAAAATTGTATTTGGTAAAGAATCTATTTAAATCTCATATTTAGTTTTACTGGCCTATTATTTATTTTGTTACAATTGCCAAATGAGTTTCTGTATTTTAATTAAAGACATATTATAATGTCATTGCAACTTTTAATTTTAGCAATGACAAGAGCAAAGCAAAAAAATCAGGTTAATTCCCAAGATATGTGTTTTTTTCCCAACAGAGATTTAAAATGGCTACAACCTACAACTAATTATTTAAAAAAATACAAGACAATACGTTCAGCAAACAAAATTTTTTACCAGGCAACTCATTATTTTCAATGGCATGCTGGACAGATGACCTGTAACATTTTGGCTCTAAAAGTTCCAGCAACTGGTCAGCTGAAACAATGTTGCTTTTTGCTATAGAGAGAATGAAACATTATTACAAAAGGTTAAAAATGAAACACAAGCACAGAAAGTTGTAAAGGTGGCCTTCCTTAGGGAAGCCAATGTGTTCAGTTTCCAGTACACAAAGGCAAGTCCTCAAATGTCTTCTTGAACAAGGCTTAGTCCCAATGTGTTTTGTCTCATCTATATCTATAATTCGACAGCAAAGGTCAAATACCAACAGGTTCAAACACCACCCAGACTATTTATAGATACACCAGAGTGTGGTTCAGTAATGAGTTCACTAGCGCGCAAAATATAATTCCCGATAACTACGCTACATATAATACATATTTTTGTAATAACACAATTGCGTTTGGTGCGTAATATTTTCTTTTCGGAAAATGAAATCGTCTCAATTAACTTTAGTAGATGGGACGTTCACGCATTGATACCGCCAATCTTTGGCGGGCTATAACTATGCTAAATGATATATATCTATTTTTAATAACGCAATAGTGTTTGGTGCGTAATATTTTCTTTACGGAAATGAAATCATCTCAATTTAAGTATTGGGTAAAAAATATTTCGGTTTAAAAGTTGTTGGGACATGAGAATATTAATATAGTTCATGAGTGTGAAATAAAAAAGTGTGCAGTGACGTATCATGAAAAGGGGAGGGGGGGAAGGGGTGTAGCAAAATTGGCATTCTTAAATGTGCGTAACTTGAGTTCACGTTTTTGTCAAGTAACTTTATTAGATGGGAAGCTCACGCATTGCTACCGCCAATGTTTGGCGGGCTACAACTAGTTACATGTGATTGTGCTAAAATGTTTGAGTGCTCGAACTAGGGTAGTCTCAGCATATGATCTGGAGCAGAAGGAGACAATGATTTCATTTGCTCTATCTAAAAAGTCTTCATTTGACTGGCATTGGCATCATTTCAATGGAACAAAGCGAACTCCAACAATTTATTGATTTTCTGAACTCATTCAATACATCTATTAAATTTACTTGACAAATCTCTGAGAATTTTGTTAACTTTCTGGACTCTACCCTTATCTTAAAAAAAACACTATTCACCTCTGCCTAATACAAACCAACTGACAGCCATAATTATTTAATGTATTCATCCTCTCACTTCAAATTGCTCAAAGACTCAATACCCTTTTCCCAACTTCTAAGACTACGTCGCCTTTGCCAAAAAGTGCACTATTTTGTATTGCAGGTTTTTCTCTATTCTGGGTTTATTTCTTTTTGCTTCAACATTGAACACATTTCTCCGGTGTTTCTCTAATAGCATTTAAGGGTGGTCTGTAGTGCTGCTTTACTAATGATATATTACATAAGGTGGATGTCTTTTCAGAAATCAAAGTCACTTATTTCTATTTTGCCCCAATCGCGCCCCCTTTATTTTTATGAACAATTACACATCTTGGCTGATAAGATCACAAGGAAAACTTAAGTTAAAAATCATGCTCTTAAGGAAAGTTACAAAGAGAAATAAAACCACCTTCATTTATTTTGAGACTTCATGCATGATAAAGGAAATATGTAAAGCAAGGTTCGGGAATACCTGAAAAAATGATCCAACGAAACTATTAACTTGTCAGCAGGAAGCTTTCTTAAGCAAACGATACAAAGAGCTACAAATTTATCAAAAGTAACAACTTAGTTGAAATGTAGTCTCCAAGACGACCTCAAGAGGAATGCAACAGACCCTTAATAGGTAAGAGAGTTAATATTCGTAAAGGGGGAAGGAAAAGAGGAAAAAGGAAGTACACAAGATTTGGTTGTAAAATGTAGAGCACTGAGAAAAGATTTAATAAGTGGAAAGTGAACATGGCATTCATGCCATTTGGTGTCAAGGTCTCATGGGTATGGATTAGTTTGTTCTCTAAGTTCACCCTGGCAGGTGTGTTTGGGACATGAAACCAATTGGGATAATGGACAACTGTACTTGAGCCCTTTTGGTTGCTTCTATTGAAGTGAATTCAGATAGGACATTGCAGTACCACCTCCCCCCCCCCCCCCCCCCCCACCATGGACATATACTGCAAGATAAAGCTTTTCAATTAACAACACCACACATTATACTGTAACATATATTAAATTACTCAGACCTCATTTTAAAACTATTTCACTTAGTCTGTTGATGACAACAATAGTTTAACATACAATAAATGCCACTTACTCTCAGCTCTCACTCTCTCTGCCATTTCCATGACATCTTTCTGGCTGTAGCCAAGGTCAACGAGACTTCTCACAGCAGGGTCTCTGCTCAGCTCTGAATCTAGAAATATATATCATCTTCAAATCAATGGCAACTATTTAGTTTGATTATTTCTTTCTTTCAGCACGCAAGGACACTTCTGAACAATTAGATTAATGAGTATTGAATAATTTTACTAGTTTAATAAATTTATAATACATTTTTTTAATTAAAAGTATTTTGTCTTGCCCTTTTCTAAAAATGGTGCAACCATTGTCATTTCATGTTTAAGCCTGTCATTTCAATCAAATTTATCATATATCTTTTCTATTGCACCTTGAAATTGTATTTTCTTATTTTGTAAGTGCAGGATTTTTTTCAAAGAAACTTTCTGTCCAATCACAAGGAAACAAGGTAAATATGTCTGTTAACAAGACAATTCAGAATTACTCCCTGTTTCCAAATAATCTATAAATTAGTGAAATACAAATCTCACATACAATGCAAGTATAAAATATACAAAAATCACTGATTTATTGACTATATATATACACACAAAGTATAACTTCTTTAACATTATTTTAAAAAATAAGATAAATAAAATTTAGATTTAGTTACAACAAACTTTTGAATATTAACAGCATATTACCTGAAAAGCATGCAGATGCTCCTGCTCTCTCTGTCACCATCTTTAAACTAATCTGAAAGCAAAAGACAAAGTTGCTCTGTACCATTCCAAAGAATTTAAATATTTGAGCATATTTGTATTTCTTGAGATTTAAATTTTCATGAACTAAAAAAAATATTAAAAAATTGTGCACATTTAAACATCAATATGCACCAGATTTATATTCTCTATTTAGTTCTTGCAGCTGAATGATCACTGAGATGTGCTAGGCTGAACCTGCTGAATCTAATGTAAATACATGATCTAAAACTTGGGTGAAACAGGAGAAAATATGGACTGAACACTTAATATAATACATGACTTTTCAACACAAACAGACCAAAAAGAAATTGTCCAACCTTTTCTATGTATCTATTTAACTCCTGCACAGCATTGATGAAAGCTTGTCCCATTAGCTGGCGCATAAAAGGACACTTTGGGAACCACCTGGCATGTTCAACGAGGACATTGTCATCATCATCCCAATTCCTGAGTCCTCCCCCACAATAGAAACACCTGCCACAGTCACCATAGCCTAGAAATCGAATGGACAATTCTTTTGATAATCAAATTGTTAATCTTAAATATAATACAGTTCAAAAAAATGCATTATGATCTTGTGTTTAAAAACTGTACCAGATAATATCTATTTTAATACAAGGAAACTTTAGGTAGAATCATGCACAACAATACAAGCTACACTAAAATTACCTGCATAATAGAACCCAGCATTAACAAGGTCCTCCTTTGTGATGAAGTGACCTTCTGGCCAGCGAGAAAAAGAATCAAGTCGTTTTTGTCTCATAGCAAATTCAGGTTTTTTGGGTCTTTCAGTAATTATTGCCAGTTCAGCATATGTTGGATTTTGTTTATTTTGGGTGTTCAATGCATTTATCGATGTTGTCTCCTCCCCTACATGTCCTGTATGGTTTGTTGATGGAGCATTCTGTGGCATAGATTCATTACCTGCAGTATGAGGTGTATGTGTTTGTTCTGTTGAGCCAGTAGAGCTCTGGACTGCAGAAATGTTGGTTACAATTTGGTTTGAAAGATGTTCTCTTGACGGCGTTATTGGGAAATTGATGTCAGAATCAGAGGGCTGGATGTTGTTCAGAGTTTGTGGGGAATGTGTATTGGATGGATCTGACATTAGATGGTCAAAGTCAGATGGAGAGGCGACTGTATTATTTGCTAAAGATGGGGTTGGTCTTAAAAAGGTGGAGTCTGATGTCAGTGGTGCCGCGATGGTTACAGAAGTTGTTGGTCTTAAAACGTTGTAGCCTGATGTCAATGGTGTTGCAGTGGTTACAGTAGATGTCGGTCTTAAAGAATTGGAGCTAGATGCTGATGGTACAGAGAGGTTAGGCTCATTTGTTTGTGACCCTGGTGATGAGGGCTGTGTGGGTTTATCACAGTGTGCAGAAAAGCTGGAGAGGCAAAGTGAGCCATCATCATTCCTGAGTCTACTAGCTATGGGACATGATGGGGACAGAGCCAGGTGAACATTCTCAACATTGTCAGATATCTGCCAGTCTTTTTTTGTGAGACCACAATTGTAGCACATGACACTGTCATCCCCATTTCTTCCTGAACCAATATAAACAAAGCCATTGGCTGCCAGCTGAAGAGAAGACTTGGTGCAGTTGGCTGGATAGTTGATGAATGTTTGAATTCTAAACCTCTCTTCTAGAAGCCATGGCCATGGTATATCTCCTATTGCAGTAGGTAATGGTCCAGAAGATGTTTGCATGGACTCAGATTATTTTTGTAGTCAACAAGTTGATAAAACCTATCTGTAAATAATGAAAAAGCTGTGTCACTTTAAGTTTTATCCATCTTTTAAATGACCTGTTTTTAAATAGTACAAAACACATTTATTCAAATAGCGTTAAACTAATGTTATTTCAAAATCACAAAAGGTCCATTATCCCATGCAACAGAAAACAAAAATGTAGGCCTGTACTCATTCTAGGCATATTATAGTTAGACTACATCCCTATATTATAATATATTCTTATAAAAGTACACTTCACTCAAAAATCTAATAGCGATAGCGAAGCTATTAGTATTATTTGCACTAAAAATTTCAGCTTAAAATTGAGTTGACTTTTTATGGATTATTGAATTGATTTTTGCTAATTTGTTGAACTAAAATACTAAAATGTCACTTGTCATGTCAATTTTATTCAAGTACCGGTAATGATAATTTAGTATTTGCATTCAGATTGATCTTTAGAGAAAACTTAAGCCTATCTTACTTAACCTATGTATTTATTAATATGCAATATTATTTTTTTTTTAAATTAATAAAATAATATTCATATTTTAAGACTAAGTTGGCAATAAGACTAAGGCCAAAAACACTTATAAAAAGTCAGTTTAAAAATGAAAATAAAATTATTTAAATCATTTGTCGTAAGTTGAAGGTTATAAATATAAAGTAAAATAATAGCTTAAAAGTAGTACTAGGATATAATTATAATTTGGCATTTTATTTTTATTGTTATTTCAATTATTTGCCCTATTCAAAAATTCTTATTCATTCAGTTAGGCCTCTATTTTTATAATTTATAAATATGTGCCTGATCCTAGCATTTATAGCATTTATTATTAGAATTAGTGCAGCTACTAATATTATAATATAATATATAAATTGAATATAATATATAAAAAGTAGTATTAATAAATTAATAATTCATAACAAGTAGTAGTAGTAGTAGGGGACTATGCCCACATCAGATTATACTATACTATAGTCAATACTATTAATACTTTTTTAAAACTATGCAATATAATATATTATATTATATTATATATATATATATATTTATACATATACATATAGATGCCCTATAGCAGTGGTTCTCAACCTTTCTAATGCCACGAACCCTTAATACATTTCCTCATGTTGTGGCGACCCCCAACCACAAAATTATTTTCGTTAATACTTTACAACTGTGGAGTATATGTGAATGTGTTTTCAGATGGTCTTAGGCGACCCCTGTGAAAGTGTCGTGCAACCCCTCAAGGGGTCGAGGCCCACAGGTTGAGGACCGCTGCCCCATTAGACTATTATAAGCTACCTCAACTTAATAAATTGCAGAATTCAGAATATAGTTTATATTATAGCAATATAGCCTTTTCTATAATAATATTTATTAATGTTTTATGAATCATAAACCTAGATTCATATTTAAATTTAAATTTGTGTTCCACGTAGCGGAGCAATTCTAAATTCTATTCTTATTCATTCTATTTGAATGCCTAATTAATGACTAATGACATAATGAATAATGAGTATCAGTGGGCAAATGGCCTAATTAATAATTAGAAATTATTACTAACTTCACTAAGCCTACATTTCTACAACTTGGCCAACATTTAATTAATATTCGTTAATATTATTTCTAATTTCTACACCCTTCTTGGGCGATTTTGTTATAGTTATAATCATCGGAATTATTTCACTTTTATTCAGTTGGTCCGCTAATCAAGGCTTGTGAACTGTAATGTGTTGTTTATTGTTACTTTCATTTAAGATTTAATGGACCATCTGGTGTGAATTAAATAACGCCACATTTAGTTTATTTTATAAAATCATAGAATACTAAATATACAAGAATTATGATGAATAAAACTTTAACTCAAAATTTTAATTATTTAAATAAATAAGTATAACCGTTTCGTTTTTTCTCTTAATTTTCTATTAAATTTTAAAGACAAAGAAACTAGGCATCGCAAGTCATACTTTAAATTATAACGATTAATGAGCCAAAAATAACCAAAGCCAATAATGATAATGCGTACTTGTCGTAACTTGTAATATTCATGCGATAATCTGACATCTGATAATGATACGAATTGAAAATTGTATATCAAGTTGACTAGTTTGTTTTATAAAATCATAGAATAATAAGTATATATTAAAATATAGATTGTAGCTTACTTAACTTACTAATACTACTAAATTCGTCTTAATTTAAGTTAAAAATAAGGGCTTACCACTTACCACTAAGACTTATCATGAAATATTTTTATTATTTGTACGTTCTTTTATGACAAGCTATTAAAAAACATGATGAATTTCTTTTTGGTCGGAAAAAACAGTCGCAGTTTATAATTCTTTATTCCAAAGTCCAGGGCAGGGTTTCTTTCAGGCGTATCTCCGGGAGGGGGGGGGGG